TATAAATTGTATTTACTTTATGTGAATTTTTTAACATAGATTGTTTCAAAAAAAAAAAAAAAAAAGAAGAAGAAGAAGAAAACTGATATAACTGTTAAAAAACAATCTAAAAAGTTGATACAAAACTGGTTTTTAGATATTTTAAAATAAAATCTACTAAAAACAATGCAATTTCTATTAGACATAAATGTTTATGAATTGATAGATTGTGCACGTTGTGATTTTATGGGATGATTCAATACAGTTATTATTAAAATTAAAATTGTATTTGATGACACTCCATGAGCGACCTTCAATCGATATTATACGCAATTAAACACGAAATGGAAAATATAGGAAATTTAATTAAATAAATCGACATGGTTGTTACCAAGACTGTAAAACTTAATTTTGTTAATAAAAAACAATGGGTGCGTACACCGAGTCTGGTATCACAACTCGGTCGTATGTGCGTATCGTTTTGAGCAAAAGCTCATGTTAACTTATTTTATGACGTTATTCGAAACCGTTCGACGTTCGCATTAAAACGCGTTGTCACCGCCCCTTTCGTACCTACGTAATATAAAACAATACAGCATTTGCTACACGACTGGCACCTCACGTCATAAATAACGGAGCATAACCCAAGTGAAGACCGTATAAGTGAGAAAATGTATTTATAAGCAATAAGCGTTCACGCTTCAAATAAATAAATTATGTATATAATAATATAAATGTGGAAACTTGCTGTTGGTATTTAATTTTACAAAAATAACAAGAATATTATAATATGAGACATAAATAGTATAATGTTATTTCCGGCTTTAAGTCGAAGTGTGTTAGCATAAATATTGCGATGAAAACTAAATGGGTTTGCTATAAAACAATATTTTTGGCGGTTGGAACTTCAACACATGTGCCAAGATCGATGTCTATTAACAATATATTTGTTCAAAGTGTTCAAATATTTTTCAAGTTGTTATAATTAGAATTCCTTTTGTGATTTGAAGCTTTTTTTAGCTAAAAGAATTGCCATCTAGCTTAACATAATATAGGGGGATTTATTTCGGATTTTTGATTCTGAGCGGAGTGATAAATAATTATTAATTTTATTATGGTACGTTTGTGTGTGTGTTTTTTTATTTGCTATCACATTTTGGTGCAGTAAAAATGTTTTAATTTTCTAAATTGAAGGTACCCATAAAATTGGATCTAAATATTTAATTGATATTTTAGAGTTTTAAAAGTAAATTTTCTGAAATTTTCAAAATATCTATTGAGAATGGAAAAACAAAAACGAAATTTAAGAAAATAAATAATATTTATGTAAAATCAGTTTTTAATACAATCAATTTTTTATATTTTGGTATATTTAAATAAAAAATAAATAACTGCAGTGACTTGACATTTTCATCGAATATTAATATTATCAATTACTAAACAAGAAATAATTTTCAGAATATATTAGTTTTTTTTATGCTATTAAAAACTGTTAACTTTATTAATAATATGCAGAAAGCTATTTATGAAATTTTTATTATTCTCACCCTATGCTATCTTTTGTGACCAATCATTTAAGATACTCATTAATACCCAATGAATAATTAATTATTTAAACGAAGAATAACGTTTATAGTTATTTTGTAATAATTTAAAAAAATTTTTTGGGGGACTTGAAACTTTTACGTTTAATTATATTTTATACGCATAATAAAATTTTTTTTTTAAAGTAAGAAAGTGGATATCACCCTACTGAATATTAGGTGTCAAGTGACTCACTACTATAGATGTGATAAGTTTGAATTCAATGATAGATATACTTGTATCATTGTATAGGAATAACAATTCTGAGCGAGATTGGTGTATCAGCCTATATCACCTAGGTAGTAATTTATATTTTTGATGAGTTATTTTTTTTACTTACTTTTATTATTATAGTAGATTGATATAATTGTTTCCAAAAAATATTGCATTCATTTGTTATTAGTATTTAATGATTATAATAATATATACAATAGAATTTGTTTAAGATTATTTCCAAATGACCTGGTAAAAATAACGAGAAATCGTATTACACGAGAAAATCAGAAAATTGACCAAAAAAAAATTGTACATACAATTTTGAATTTTTTATTATAATTACATTTATATTGTATTATTATTACAAGTATAGTATACTAATATATACATACTTATTATTAAATTTTATTTTTATTATTTCAAATTATATATTATCTGCAATTTACATTTACATACATACTTTATTTTACATTAAAAAAATTATGAAATTTTGTTTGTGTTTTGCATTTTTAATATTTTTTGAATAGAGGAAGTATTTCAACTTAATGCAGTATTTTATCTGCATTGTCAGAAGATACAATTAATCTTCTTAGTTCGTGTATATAATCATGACACGGCTTCGGCGGTTGTCATGGTTTTGATCTACGGAAAGCTGGTCGTATGATTGTGGATGCTCGCACCGGTGTGGAGCCACACAAACAGGTTGGTTGGACAGATTCGACAAAGACGTTCTAAACCTTCAGTGGTTGGACGTAACTTGGTGATTCCAACGAAGTTAAGTCCTTGTAGAGCCATTGTAGAGTTCTTTTAGACAACATTCGGAAAATCAGACGCTGTTAGACGTGCAACCAACGTGCCACCCGAGCGGTCACTCGCGGTCATAGCTCATCCAACACGACTTATCTTCCCGGCCTTGACCTTTATGACATTGGTAGGGGAGTTGACTATATTGCGTATTTACCCGTGGTGGTGGTGATAACAATGTAGACCGGTCGTTTTGGTGCCTGTACTTAGTACTAGCGACCGTTGCGTACCGTGTCATTTATTGCAAGGAGATAACGTGTGATTAGTTGCATAAATTAAAAGCTAATCTTTATCGTATGGTATGTACACAATATCATAATGTATACTAAGTTGTGGCGCCTTATTGAATCAATAATCATATTGTACAATTTGTACATCATTGTGATTATTAATTTTATTCTACAGAACATCATTTACATAGAGCGTCTAATCCAGGAATACAAAGTATATTATCCCGAATCATTTACATGTTAACCGCTATCAAAATCAAGGGAATCGTGACAATGAGCGTATTACGCAGGAAATCGTATTATGCTAGAGCATCTAAAACAAATTCTACTATATTTAAACTATATTATATCAACTTATATGATTAAAAGTTTAATAATATATTTCTATAAATACCGTAAAATAGATCCAACACCTATTGATAAATAGATAATATTTTAAAATTATCGGAAAATATAATTGCGTTTAGTAAAATGCATAATAATATAAAATACATAAACTTTTAAAATCTCACGAATAATGTTTTCATATTATAACAAAATAATTGGTATATCATCGTTTATCGTTTAAAATAAATAATTCCGACAAAGTTAGAACTTGAAATGTCTATAAAACATAATTATCTTCATACAGTTTTTAGATTTTATCATTTCAGTATGAAAAATTTCTGAAGAATCTTGTATTAAATTTTCAAAACTAAACTGAGGTATAAAAAGAAAAGTTTTTATGAATCTTTGAACTACAAAATAGTTTATAATATTTTGCAATTTTAATGAATTTCGTCAAAACGCTAATTTCAAATACATGTATATTAATATGTATACAATTTTCAAGAATTTTAACCATGAGAATAATTTTTGTTCGACAATTTTTAAGTTTGGCCTCTCTCGATAACAAATTATTAAATCTAATTTTATATCCAAAATATCGTTATTTTTTTAAAATCGAAGCAATCTTTAGAAAACTAATCATGTTCTCATCTACAAAAAAAAAAAAAAAAAAAAATAATAAAAACACATCATTATAAAATCAATACATTCATTGCTTTACTTAGAATTTAAGATTTAGATTAATTTTAAGTTATTGCATACTTATACTACGAACCTATCATGCCGTTATATGGTAAGTCGATATTGACTTAAATGTTTGTAACAATAATTTATAGTATAAATTTATATTATTATAATAATTAAATATTTATAAATGTAATGTTTTCGGTAAAGATAATAATTATTAGTAGATAATAATAAGTAAATCTTAATTTGAAAAAAAAAAATCACAAATGTTGTGATTTTTGCACTTGACGACGTATTTTAATGAATTGTATTACCAGATAGTACAATATGTATAAATATAAAAAATCCAGATATAAATAACCGTACACTATAGAATATAATCTAAAAAGCAATTTGTTGATTCAACATCCACTCTTAAAATTATATTGTAGAATACAATGGTAGTCACATCATTTTGGTGTTTTTTTTTTTTTTTAATGAGCAATAATCTGTCACACCGGTTATTACCTTTTTAAGGTTAGTGAAATAAATTTAGAAAAAGATAGTGTTATTAGAAAAACAACTGTTGTTGGTTCAAATGGAAATATAAAAAAGAAGTCTATCATATTGGTTCTTTGTTATATGAACAAATATAACATATATAATTATTTAAATTATCAATTTTTGCTTATCTATGTGTGATTTAAATTTGTTTCTATGTCTATTGTTCATATGTTTTATTTATTTATAAGTTTCATAATGTTGTTATTAAACATATACAGTGAAACCTTCCTTAACGGACACCTCTAAATAGCGAACACATCTAAATAGCGGACGTTTTTTCGGGGACGGGAACATTTTCACTATTTATGTATAGGAAAACCTCTAAATACAGGACACTCTAAATAACGGACACTTTTATGACGTTGATATTAGTTATTTTTATCTTAAATTAAGAATTATTTTGGAATACCTGAATAAAAACCTGAATTATTAAGTCATCTTATGTGTACATTATTATACTGTATATGAAAATCTTATCTTATCCGTTCAGTCATTGAAATATTATCGCGTCAACGAAGTATTATAACTATAATGCATTGTCCTATCTCCTATGTACGTTTAGTTGTGTTTGTGATGCCAACGTTTATTGTAGTGCGAATTTATTATACGTATTGTTTATACGAACTTTATTGCGCTATGGCTAGCAAAAGAAAACGATTAACTTTAAAAGAAAAAATAGACATTCTGGAATTTCGAACATCAAATACAATGGGCGTTCGTGCATTAGCAGACAAATTTAGTGTTAGTAAAACACAAATTGCTGATATTATAGCAAATAAAGACGCTCTTTACAAAATTTGGGCTGAAAATGGAGAAGAGAAACGGAAATGGACAAAGCTACAAAAAACAGAAACCTCTATAATCGACAATGAAGTATTAAACTGGTTTTCAAAATTACAAGAAAAAAATCTTCCTGTTTCAGGACCGATGCTTCAAGAAAAAAGTAAGCAAATCGCTGAAATGCACGGATTTGATCTTAAAGGCTCTAATGGCTGGCTTGAAAAATTTCGGAAAAGAAATAATATTTCTTTTAAATCAGTTTGTGGTGAAGCAGCAAGTGTTGATGAAGAGGCCGTCAATAACTGGAAAGCAAAAATACCCGAAATTATAGCAAATTACGCAGAATGCGATATTTTTAATGCAGATGAAACGGGATTGTTTTATAGAGTTCTACCTGATAAAACCATGGCGTTTAAAAATGAGATATGTACCGGAGGAAAAATTTCAAAAGAACGTTTAACTGTACTTTTGTGTTCTAACATGTTGGGTGAGTTTGAACGGCCAGTCGTCATAGGCAAAGCTAAACGTCCACGAGCCTTCAAAAAATTGGATATTAACAACTTTCCCGTCGATTGGTATTGGAACAAAAAAGCCTGGATGACGACTGAAATAATGACTGAGTGGCTTATGAAATTTGATAACAGAATGGGTCAAAATAAAAGAAAAGTTTTACTCTTTTTAGACAACGCGGCTCCTCATCCACATTTGAAAATGAAAAATATTGAACTTGTGTTTTTTCCACCTAACATGACATCTCATTGTCAACCGCTTGACCAAGGAGTAATCCATCAGTTTAAGAAATTATATCGTACGCAGTTGTTACGTAAAGCTGTTGCCGATTTGGATGCCAATTCAAGTCAACCTATCAACGTGTTGGATGCAATTTACTGGGTGTCTTCATCTTCAAAAAACATTCAACCCGAAACAGTGAAGAAATGCTTTTTGCGGTCCGGCTTTAGGCACCGTAATAACAATGTTACAGACGTTGATGATCTACTTACACCAATAGAAGAACTTGGCAATCTTATTAAAGTGATTGACAATACAATTACGGAAAATGACTACATAACACTAGACGATTGCGTAGAGACTTACGACGCCGATATCGAAAATTCATCTGATACTACGAGCATGTCTACACAAAATGAAGAAGAAAGTGATGAAGAAAATGATGGGTCCGAAGATCAAGAAATTCCAAAAATAGGAAGTCCACGGGAGGCATTGCTAGCAGTAAAAGACATACGTAAATATATTTCTTCTATCGAGGTGCAGAATAGTTCATTGTTCTCAAACACAGTCCAATTAGAAAATGCCTTAACATACGAAATAACTACGCCTGCAATTAGTAAACAAACTAAAGTAACAGATTTTTTTCAGAAATGTTAGTTTTTATTTTTTTAAGATGTATGTATTTAATTAATGTAAAAATAAAATAAAAATTTAGGTAACTGTTTTTTTTTCATAAATGTTAGTTTTATCGTGTATTCAATTAATGTAAAAATAATATGAAATAAAATTATTGAATTTATTTATTTGTTAAAAAAAATGTTTTCCTCTAAATAGCGGACACCTCTAAATAGCGGACAAAATTTCGGCGACCGAGAGTGTCCGCTATTCAGAGGTTTCACTGTAAATATATTCGTACATCAAGTACTTGATATTTAAGTAAACTATAGAATAAAACAATTTTAAAAGTTCATATATTAGTAGGTACACTGTAAATAATAAATAAAATGTAATGGACCTTAATTTAATATCACTATTAAGTACAAAAACAAAATATACAGAAGGTACGTAGGTATAATGATATTGAAATATAGGTAAAAACAGAGGCAAAAGTAAATGTAATATTTTTTAGAGATTCCAGACATTCTGTAATGAATAGATAAAAGTTCTTAATTTGTTACGTAATTTTCAAGAGCTACGATGTGGTTTTTACCACGATATGAAAAATGGAAGGATTTTATTGAGAATGTAGGAAATAAACGAGATAGGTATTGAGAAATAAGATATTATAATATCAATAGGAGCTAAAATCACATTTATTATAATCATATTATTATTATTATTATTATTATTTTAACTTAACTTTCAACCGTAACGTCCGTAACGGTTATTTAATAATACGTAAAACATATACTTTATATAATATATAAATATTAGTTATCAAACATGTATAGTTTTTTAATAATCTATTTTAATTTATAGAATTTCGATTTTTTTTTTTAAACTAGTAAAATATACAACGGGATATATATTTGGATGTGTTGAAATCGATTAAACAATTGTTATAAGAAAAATAAAAAAAGGTACACAACGTATGCATTCGTGTCTAAAAACACCAAATAAAAATATTGTCGCCAAAGCTTAAGATCAATTAAAAAAAAAAAAAAAAAAAATTAATAAATAATAATAATAATATTAAGTTACACGTTGGCTAAGTTATATAATATTGGACTCTGCTAATTACAAAATACAAAAATTATACATATTTTTTGCATTAATTATAATTAAATGATTGTGTTGTTATTATCCTACTGTATTTCCAGTAATTTACAAACATTGTATATTTAGTGCGTGGATTGGATTGCAGGAACGGAAAATTTGTTTATATGACAATTATCTAAAAGTCACCTGTTAAGATTGATTAAGAGAGGTAAATCTGACCTATAAATTTAAAAATATTATTTCATAAACGTGTATTAGAATAATATTATAGATCTGATAGAATTATATGAGATAGTGAATGTGTAATTATGTTACAGTAGAGTCAATCGATATGTTAAAATGCGTCATATGGAGTAAATTAAATTTAAAAATGAATAACTTAATATACTATTGTTTTTAATGAGATTTTTTGACATTTTAAAAATAAAATAACACAAAATTGTGCAAATAAATCGTATTTATGATATCTGGGACGATTTCAGTTAGATAATAGATGACCATACCTATTTGTGTACGTCAACAAATAGACATATAATGTAATATTATATAATTTGAATGAACCCTACTATCTCCTTCACAAAATATCACCCTTTGTTGTGACGGCTCGAGTGTCATAACGTCCAGTTCGGAAAACTTTTCCGGTCCAGATGTTGAAGATAACTATGACGACGAACGAATCCTTTAGCTGATTCAGTTTGGGGTAGAGTAAAGTTAACCCTTAATTTCCGTCAGTGTACAGTTGTATGACCTTTGAAGTCACACCGACCACCCTGAAATTTCCAGGGCTGGTACTTATATTTTATACATATACGTATATATAATATGCGTGTGATGTGACTGTTGTTTGTAGATATTTTATTTTTTTTTTTTTGACATTTTTTACTTAATTCTCAGTATGTAATGACCGTAATAACAACTACCGATTCCTCGTCGCATCGTGTCGTCCATCACGGGCTACAATTATCAGCGAACAATAGTAAGATAGTAAGATTATAAGTATACTTATTGATAAATTATTATTATCATGTTGTGCGTTTTTCTGGAAATATAATAGCATTTAGTGATTTAATAATTCTATAATATACTCGAACTTATAAGTATTAAATAATATATTATGCACTATGCATACAAATAATAAGAATATGAGATATATTTCTCAAACCAAAATAATATTTCACACATTGTTTATTTTTGTACATATCAATATTGATTTTATCAACTGAATAAATATTAAAAAAAAAAAACAAAAAAAAAAAAAGGGTATATTTAAAATAAGTATCATGGTAAATTATAATGATATTTCATAAGTTCTTTCAAGTATAATACATTTTAAATTATTTTATAATACAATTAAAATTATTTAATTATATTTTCTGAGTAAAATTTCACACGTTACAAATCTAAAATGTTTTTATTATACCAAACTTAGCTAGAAATTATTTACATGCTTTTAGTTTATTATTCTGAAGCAATATATTTTTTGTCTATTCTAATAAACCAATAAATAACAAATTAACTATAATTTAATTTATAAAAATGTAATATAAAATAATAATAATGCACCACAATAAAATTTAGAGATATGTTCTGTCACTATTTTTCTATAAATTTAAAACGCTTATAATGAGTGAATAAACAATAAAAAAAAAAAAAAATGGTAAACATTTAGCTGCTAATTAATATTCATTTAAATTGCAAAACTATCAAGTAAATTATTCTGTTTTAAAATTAATAAAACTATGGGCTAACATTTAAAAAAAATTCACAAAAACGATTAAAATATAATATTTCAAAAAAAAGTAATGTATATTATTATACTTCTTTCTCTTTAAAATTTCATGAACACAAAACACAACGAGAGACTTTTTATAATTGTTTTCATGAGAATATATACATTTATTAGAATTCGTTAAATGTGCTGAATAAGAAAATAAATTGCATCTCTGCTGTTTAACTCAAACAACATTAAATGTGTACAACTATTGATAGTATTTACTATGTACCTACTAAAGACTTAATTTATGACAAAATATATAAATATAAATAACTTATTACAAATATTAATTATATGTTATAATTTAAAAAAACAAGAAAGGACCATTAAGACTTTGAGGATAAATGATATACATATTTATATTCTTTTATACAAATAACATTTTATCTGCACTTAAACCTCCGAATCTCTAGATGCAGCACTGGTAATTGCAATGCTATTTCAATTATTTAAACGATCGTTGATTATATTTTGGTGACTTTTTCAAGTAGAAACTTAATCAATTATCCATCAGTCTAGATTGTATTCGTAATTAGATGCAGACAGTTGAAATAAAGACTGTACAATGTTCATAATTGAAAAAAACAATTTAATTTAATTTGTTTATTACATTATAATAAAAAATAATATACTTATTCATTTTTATTTAATATTTGCTTTTTAAGCAATTAGATACACAGAGTATGTAATATTCGTTTAATTTGGACGGTTTAAAATAATGAAAATGAAGGGTTATAAATATTGGCATATTATTTTATCACTACTAGTAATATATAATTTAAAAATAGTATTTTAAAACATAGAAATTGAGTTAACTTTAATATATAATTACTGACACTATGATTAGTAATAGAATATTTAAAATAATAATAAAATAAGTAATATATTAATGAAACTAATTAAGGTTTTTACGATTTAAAACTAAAAATTATGGGCTTGTAACCATTTTTAAATAACATTTAAATTATTCAAACCAATAATGTTTTAAAAGATTGAAAACAATAGTTTTATTGAAAAATTATTATAAAAATAAATTAAGATAGTATAAAAGAAGTCAATACATGTGCATAGGTTGATTTAATTAATATGTAGTATTGCAATGATGGTAATTTAATATTGAATTACCGGGGTTGTTTATCAACATTTTTGATATTGCATTCTCTTAAAACCAAAACTGCAGCTAAAGTAGTTGAAGTATTATTTAATATAAATATTTTGTATTTTTAGAGCATCTACGATCTTCACTTTTAGAGTTAAATAAATGTAGTCATGAATTTGTTTATTGTATATTTTTTGAACTAAAAATATGTGGTCGTAACGTAAAATTGTTTTCAGGAAACAGTGACTTTCAAAAGCAAGGTGCGTTAAAAAAAGCAAATAGATATTTGTAAGATTTTTTAAGGTGTAAATTTCTGACAATAAACCAAATAAATGTACCTAATAAAATTCTTCGATTTTGCCAATTTCCAAAAAAAATGTTATGTGTATCACTCTGATTTAAAACAACAACTATTTTAAATAGTTAAGATATTCAGTCATTACAATTGATACAATTAAATATAACGTTATCAGTACCAAATGTAGGTAGATGTAAGTCAAGAATATTCCAGAAATATTATAGGTAGGTAGTATATTATCTAATAATTATAAATAAATGATATGATTATAGTTAGATATTTTAGTTTTGTTAAGTATTAAAATAGAAGTAACGACGGGTGACTTATATAAAAACCATACATAAAATGGCATTATTGTATAATTCTTTAGTTGTAATCAATTTTTAGCTTTTGATGTGTTAAATAATATACTAAATGTATTTACCTACAGAAAACATTTTTCTAAGAAGTGTAAATAAAAAACGAAGTGTAAGTTTCTATTTAAAATGTAAGGTTTTTTGAAATATTTTGTGCACGAATATTTTATGATGACAAATGTATACGTATTTTAACAATATACTATATAAAATGTATCATACAACTTATGTATCATAACTGACTTGATTTTAAAAACAAACAATAATACTGTAATATTACACATAGTACTGATGTTTATTTTTATGTTATATTATGTGATATTTATCAATAAAATAATTTTAGAAAAAAAAAAAATACACTTACCTAAAGTTGGTACAAAATAATTTTATACTTATAATTTATAAGTGTATCATTAATATTTAATATATAACTTTTACATACCTGACATATATTTGACAAACCAGGTGAATTTATATACTTAAACATTTTTTGTTTATATGTAGTTTTTCAGTATTAAAATATTTCTAGACAATTAAAAAATAAAATAAATAAATAATTTATTATTAATATAATAACTCGATAAAATATGTAATTTTATTATAATGATGAGTATAAGTAATATTCTTGTGTGCAGACAAAATAGGTGATATAGAAATAGTAGATATTTGATTATGGAAATACATGTATTCTCACAATAATAAAATATTCTTATTAGTACAACAATTATTATTTGATTTATATGAACAGTATGATCGTAGTTAAAATATGATTTGTATAATATGTTTTTAAATTCATGATTTCTGCAGCGAATGTTGTGTACATCGTGAATTATATATGTAATGTAACTTTTACTGTTCGTCCATATACTTTGTACAGCAAAATTGTACAGTTAGCGATATGTACATATATTGTTGTTCATATTGCGAAACGTATTATTCCAAGTTTTATATTCACCTATTTTAAACATACGATTAAAATTTTAATGTATTTTTTTTCATAAATTATAATTATTATGTATTAGTGAAAAAAAAGTTTTAAAATTGTTACAATTCATGCATATATGTTCTACATGGCTAATATAATTTATAAATTATTTCACAATGATTCCCGTGTAAACATATGTATTATATATCCTTCAACAATGCATATATATATATATGTGTGTAAATGTGTGTGTGTGTATTATATATTAATATACTCAATAGAACTAATAATTTATTAATATATACGTGCATTATAGATTTTCTTTGTGGTATTTGTGCTGTACATAGGTACTGTACGATATTATTAATAGTAGAATGTGAACGTCACAGGTCTGCGAATGCAATGCTATATGGTATTAAATGAACATATGCGTTTAACCAAGTAGTTTCCAATTACAAATTTAATCTGTATCCGAATGTTTGAAATTTAATAACGTGATTGTAGGTGTATGTACACGTCTTCGGATCTTTCACTGTAGGTGGTGCCAATATTAAACACGTATAACATATATATACACTACATATTAAGGATATATAATATATGTATATATTTGTAAAATATATACCTTGGATCTTGATGGTGAATATTTTTTTAACCACGTGGTCATTTGATAATGATGCATTATGATACGTTATAATGGAATCTAACGTTTCTATCATATTTGTGCTCTATTCCTATACGTAATCATCGCTTACTGCAAACACAGACAAAAATAAATAGACATTTTTCATCACGTACTATTGGTTTGCTGTTTTTACTACAGAACATTTTATTACAATTTCAATATCATTAATTCATCAGAAACTACAAATTATGGGTAACTCAACACCTTCAAAAATAACAAACCAAAAAGGATTTTTTTGCATGACCAGTGAGTGTAATCAAATTAAAAATGTAACATTTTAAGTTGGTATATCTAAACAAATGTAAAAAAAAAAAAAAATACTATCTATATTGGCATGACAATGATTTATTTCATAAACTATACTTACATTTTTAGTTTGTTTGGTGTACATTGAATTCCATGTATATATTGCATATTATACATAATTCATTTGAGATATTTGCTGTTATTATCGGATTTGGTAAAGTTACTATTTCGTATGGACAAGAGTAACAACTAACAAGAGTATATATTACATTGAGTTATTTAAATTAAGTATGTACTAAGGTTATCTATATTTTGATAAACATATTACTGCAGAAAATATTATTACATAAAAGTGAAAACATAAATTATAATCACCATAACACTTACCACGTATTCCGTGTAGAGCGACTTATCGTTAAAATTTTATAATTAAGACAAAATTAATGAATACCACTGAGCTATCTAATAATAACGTTAGTAGTAATAGTACTCGTAAGATAATATGCCAAGATCGTATAAAGTTATGGAGTGTAATGTACACAAACAGACAAAACAAAAAAAATAAAGAAACTATTTAAAAACGATAAGAGCCACAGTTTTCTTTATAAAACTCTGTATACGTTATACGTTCTTTTTTAATTTAAACAATAACTTGTCAAGGTTAATTAAAATTACGTGATCAGTATTATTTTCCAAATCAATAATTCCTTTACTATATTAATAAATTAAAAATAAATAGTAGATTATACTAATACACACATTATATTTTGTACATTTAAACGCGTATTTTACCTATACGGCTATAACTACATATTATTACATTTTAATAAATATATTTTATACTTTGATAAAATCATTATTATTATATTGTGTGTTTTTTAGCTACTTTTTAAAATATGATAAATAATGAACTTGTTTTTAAAATTCAAGTTGTTATTAAATTTTGATCGTTTAAAATGGTTTTCAATTGAGTCAATATTGTGGGTTTAAAATATTAATATTATATTAGCTAAATAAAGATGGAGTCGTATAACGTACAATAAAAATATATGTATATAACATGTTTGTATAATTTATGACACTCTTATTGCATGTATTTATTTTAATTTTTTTTTTTTTTTATATTCTTTAATATAAATCTTAAAAGAAAATCAGATTATATCTTTATTTTATTTATTTATTTATTTTTAAGTGGTTTTAAATTGTATATAATTATAAAATTCCCAAATTACATAAAATAATAATATACTATTGTCATGTAAATAATATAAACACTGTCTGAAGTAGGTATTTATAAAAAAATACTTCAAACTAAGTGTATACTTCAAAAAATAACAGTGTTAATATTAAAGTTGTATTTTAAATTTTTATATAAAACCTTTTAATATTTTATAGTATTAACATTTAGTTAAATGTATATGCATTAAAAACAATAAAACATTAACACTTTAAACGAATATTTTATTCAAAAGGATGTTAGTGCACTATTTTTTTACTATCTTTGACCTGTGCGAAATGTGGAAAATATTATAAATTAGTAGAATCAATATTAAGTTATTATATTTAATACAATATCGAATTGATAAATTATCAAATTTAAAGCTTAGTAAATTATTTTTACGTAGCCACGTTGATCTTTTTGCACTACATCAATATTTTACCTTAAATTTCCATTTTTAAATTGTATTATTTCATATAATAAAATTATAACAGTCATCATAACTTATATAACAATTGAAATATCAAATAAAAAAAAAAAAACCATATCTATAAACGTATTTAATTTTTCTAACATTAAGATTAATAATGGATCAATCCATTATTCATTCTTACTTCAAAGGTAAAATCACATGACTAAATCTGAAATATTCAGGCATTATATTGCGCATGGGCCAGAGAGAGAAAATAAATAATGGTTAATGTCTTCTGAAAAAATATTTTAATATTATCTATATATTTTTTTAAATTTGTAATTTTAAGTATTGGATAGGGTTCATTTATTTTGAAACTGTTAAAATTATTTTGTTGATCCACCTTCGATTAAATTATAAAATTTGTCTTGGATGCTGCTTAAAGCTTAAAAAAAAAAAAAAATGTCAAAATGAAACGATCAAAAAATCTTCAGCACAGGACAAGTACTTGTGATAATAGTACATAGCAGTGAAAGGGTTAATGTGTGCCGTTGGCAGGATTCTATTTGATTATAAACTGACAAATTATTGAACAGGATAATAGATGAAAAAAAATGAGCTACAATTGATTAATTGGTAGTACCTACATATTGTTTAGGTATTTATGTATGTATCTAAATAATTAGATACTATTATGATTATATTGTGTTGTTTTATTAGTCATGTTTCATAATATAAAATTAAGACCGACAATGACAAATAAGGAAATCAAATAACTCAAGACCTCAAAAAATAACTTGAAGTCTTAATGACTTTAATAGAGCCACTATTATTTTTAATTATCTTCATTGCATATAATTAATTGTATATATTTTTGTTTAGTGGAGAAAACAATTATAATTATTATTGGTTAATATTGCGAATTTAAATATATTTAAATTATAACATAATGAGCATTATATAACTATATTGTTCGTTATTTTCTATTGTATAGCAGAAACATTTAATAAAATAATTCATCATACAATATTAATAGTTCCTATATACCTATTTATAATTTTATTTTTTAAGAATCTTAAATTACAAAACACAAAATTATAATTATTTTGTTTAATAAATGTACATATTAAAATATTTAGTATTTAACTATGACAACTGGCGGTGATGCGCCCTTGATAAATATTTGCGAAAGTGTTATAATATCGGCTGAAAGGAATATAGAAGTAAAAGCAGTTTGATTTTTGATCTTTATTCTGTTAATCGTCTACGTACCTACATTTAATATTTGTTATCGTTTACATTTCAAAACTGTATATAATACGGTTTATTTGCCGAAGTGTTTAAGATATATAATACATTAATATTAAATGCTGTGTGTATTGATTTCAGATGCACTCCGGGTAATGTCGGAAATATGCTTAGGGTAGACGACTGTGTGGTGTTAAGACGAGTCTCCATGGGCGGTGGTGAAGAAAATCCAGAGCCACCAACTGAAGTAGGAAGTCGTCGGACAAGCAACGGTTTGTATTGAATTGTATACATGTAATAATAATAATATAATATGAGTATGATTTATGGTTTTTAAAGACTGTTTTACCAGATTGTATTAAACTAAAGCTAAGCGCGTGAATCAATATTTCATATCGAACAAAACGATAGTTTATTTATATATATATATATATATATGTGTGTGTGTGTGTGTGTGTGTATAATAGTTGTAACTTTGTAATAGGTATGGGCATATAGGTGTAAAATATTCGAAAGTTGTTCTTGGTGAAACTTTAAAATTCTGAACGTTGTAATTTTAATCTAACCTAACATATTATTATGAAACATTTGGATCAATATTGAACGATTTTCACTTAAATGGGTGGCGAAAAAAATCAAAATTACATTTGGTCGTTTAGCTAATATATTTTATAATAAAAAACATATACATTATAATATATTATATCGTATCATATTAATTATAAATTATATTTTGTTTGATATTTTTTGGACACCTATTTGTTATTTTATTGTGATAATTTGCGTAGGTATAATTTTGTTTGTAGGTATTTAAAAGTTAAAGTTGAAAAATTTACTTTGCAACAAATTTAAAACTATATTAGTTGTATTAATAAGCAGTTAAGAAACTTCTAAAAAACATAAAACATACGTATGTCAGTATTGGATGGTAAGAATACTATTTACAATCAAATAATGGACAGGCATATAACATATAAATTGTTGAAAATATTATATTATGTGAGCTGATAAAACTTCATTATGTCATACAGTGTAAAGAGTTTAAAATTGAACTAAAACTAAAAATAGTATATATTTATAATGGTAAGTATTCCTGTATATATTCGGTATTATTGTATTAAGCGCTCGTTATATCTGTATTTTTGTTTAAATTAAAAACTATTTTATTTATGTTCTTTGACTATAATTTCAAAAATGTACATAATTAAATAGTTTTAATTAAGCTGTACCTACTAAATTATATGTATTATATTCATTTCAGTACTTAAAAACGAACTTTTGTTGCATGAAGCTGTTATAAAAAATGACCCAGATGCTGTAAAAAGAGTAATCAAAGAACCATTAGATGTAAACTCCCGAAATAATGTGAGTATACCTAAATGCTTATTTAATATTATACATAAATTTGATGAAATATTTTTTTTTTTATACTAATTGTTCTTAAAAATAATAATAATTTATAATTTACGAATCGAAACTTAAAAAATTTATATTTAATGAACAATATAATGGTATTTGTAAATTTACTTAAGTTAATTTCCAAAAAAATATATATGTATATTATATTAAGGAATTTATGACATAATAATATCATACTAGTGTTGTAACTTATAAAATATATTGATATTTATTTATATGTATATTGTATATATACATATATTTAGAAAAACTATAATACTATTTAGTATTTTGCACATTTCTTTAAATATAGAAATTATAACTTCCAATAAGTTTAATCAACAGAAATTTGGTAAAGTTATGTAAAAACACTTTAATTTATAATTTATTATTTATTAGGTTTAATATTATTATATTAAATATAAATCCATCTTAAAATATCCAGAATATATATTGAGCATTTTAAGGTGTTAACTTCGATTCATATGTATTAAGACTATTGCCGTAAAAATAAAACATTACCTCAAATTTATATAATGAACATAAATAAATTTCTTAAAAATAACAAGAAACATTTAAAATTTAAACGATAACATGTTTGAATACTTAAATATTCAAACCTTAATTTAAGAATCCTTCAAATTTGTATATATATTATATAGTATAGTATTTATAGTAGTTTTTAAATTAAAATTGTGTTTAGCATAAAATAGATTTCAATTAAAAATATTATTTATTTATTATATAAAAATTAAACGGTAATTGAAAATGCCTATATAAGTAAATTATTATAATATACAAATTAAAAATAAATATATGTGATTAAAATTTCATATGAATTTAATACGTGTAATATAAGACGTATGATTATCATTTTTGAGGTTAAATAGTACCATTTTGTATTAAATTATTCGTTCAATATATACTTGTACCAATTGCATAATATCGTATTAAATAAATGAAAAATTTCAATATTATTTACCATCATATGAATTTCTAATGTTTATATATAGGTACGGTTGTAGCATGAATGTATTATTATTTTCGATTACTTTTTTGATACAGCGTTATTAATCTTTAAGTTTTCCAAGTACCCCGTGGTGCGTTTTCAACTGTTTTGGACGAAATGTACCGGATTTTCAATTGTTTTTATAAGTATATAAAATCATTGTATCGTGGTATACTCCGTGTTGTCAAATTCCAGTTGCCTTCAACGAAATATTTATTGAAGTTAAATTGATTTTTTTTTTTTTTGTAGTATTATTCAATAGCAATTGTTGAAATGTTTTTATGTAGTATCGTGAAAACTATCAAACCAAAATAATCATAAACTTAAAATTGTAAATCTTGCAATTATTTTTAGGGTAATATCAAATATGGGCTACCAATTTTGTTATCCTAGTTGTATATTATTTTATTTTTAACACATATTAAGTTTTTATACAGATTAAACATTCACGAAATTTTCAAAAAATAATCAACTCGATAATTAGACAAAAAATTAAAAGGCATTTATCGCATTTAATTTAACAACAATTATTTTTCATCCTGACTTAACATTTGCATTCTTCTCAGCAAAAAATAATAAATTGTAGGTTATATATTTTGCTATTTTATTTATAGTGAATAGAATGCGGTTGATTTAACCCATATGGTCATATGGGAGTATACTAAGTTATTATGAACAGTAATAATTGTTTTAAAATTACTATGTTTTACAAATCTCAAACAATATAAAAAGTTTGCCTAATAACTTACGGATAAACAAATGAATTACGAAAAAAAAACCCATATAGACTCATTCCAAACGTAAAATTAAAGTGAAACATGCTATATTAGATCTGTAAAGGCAAACTCTGACAAAATCAACACAAATCATAGTGTTATAACTATAATATCCGCACAATAAACAATTCTCTAACTATTAACTATTCAAAATGTATCTTAAAAGCATATGCTAGACAACTACTAAAAACTTTCTAAATAATTCGAAAACTCTTCTGTATATGAGGTGGAACGAAGGTGTGGGAATAATAATCAATAACATAGTAAGATATACTACGTATATATCATAATAATATCCTAGCTATTGCCATAACAAAAAAAAACAATCGATACTTATTAATAATTTATTTACTATACATGGAATAACCATGATGGTTATGTAAATTATAACTATATATACTTATATAAACTATACAAACTATACTTATAGAATATAGGTGAAGTGGAATAACATTATATTATACATAACACGTATGTCGTGTAGTTATAATGTATTAATAAATAACAATTTTAAGTAATTATGGTTACCTATTTTTTTTTTTATTTTAAAATTACATAAGCTGTATACATTATTTTACCATTATGGACGCTTTAAAATTAAAACCAATTAATTACATGAATACATGAAAATTTTTTTAACATAATATATTCATTTTTATTATCAGAATTATCTGTATTGTGATAATTTTTCATGTACCTTATAAAACGTATGTCTTATTTTATACATTTTAGTATAATATGAATAATTATGATTAAACGGCGTCTTAGATATGCAATTTTGCTACTTCACTGTGATGTGTGCTTTTTTATTATTCATCCGACTCGATCAATCTTGAAGCAACAGAGTTGTTCGTATCCAACCTGTATCTAATCTTGATGTATGTTACATTTTTACGACTATAGTTTATTCCACTCCACTGATCTAGTCACTTTACTTTTTTCACCTAAAATCACTATTTATCTGTACTTTTTTATACAATTTAACTATAATATATATGTAAATAAATAAATAAAATACTGGCTACTCGAGTACAGTATCCAATTTAGTCACACTGAGATCACATATTTATCACACGGTTGTCTGGCTGAGTGTTAATTACAAATCATTGGTGGTTATTAAAACGTCATTACACTGATAATAATTTAACACTTTGCTATTTTTTAACAATACAGTGTTTAATATTCGCCGGTTGTCGTTTACGCATCGCTATTGTTAATTTTGACTTTTTTTGTAAGACGATTGCGCATTGTTTAATTTTTGGATTATACATCATTTGCACATTATTCGTTTAAAAGGTCTTACATTATTTGTGCATAAATATTATTTAACAATAGAACTAAAAAAAGGCATATACCCAAAAGTACTAGTTGTTTTCTAACTTTGATCATAAAATTCATACATCTCCAAATTTACTCTTTTAACATCCAATGTTTAATTATTGTACAGATATTTCTGTTTTAAAATATACAATAGGTAATATTATGATAAATAATATTATAATAATATTGTATAGGTAATCAGTTAGCAATAACACAACTAAGATGCACGGTTGACTAATAGATTTTTATCTCATAAGTACAGTCGAACTTGGTTAATTTGAAGTTGAAGGGACCGGAAAAAAGTTCGAGTTATCTAAGAATTCGAATTATCTAAATTAAAAATTTTTAAAACAGTACACAATATATTAATTTTTACATATTTATTATGAATAAAATAATTTAATAAAAAATATTTACTGTGTATTTCTATATGAATTATGTAATGTAATTTTAAAGATGTATGCATCTATGTATAAATAAAAATTATGTTAGAAAATGTTTTCAAAAAGGTATTTATTTTTGTTTAAGTTTTTTTATTAATCGCAGTGTTTGTAATGAAGCGTTTTAAACAATTTATCGGTAACGATAACACTAATGAGTAATGACCTTATTTTCGATATTAAAATATAAATATAGGTATACGAAGAAAATATCACAATTTTATAATATTAATAAAACTCAAAACTTTGAGTTATCCACGAAAATATTCGAGATTTTTTTTCATTGTTTAAATAGAAAATCCTAGGGACCAGAGAAAAAGTTCGAGGTATCGACGATTTCGAAATTCGAGATAACCAAGTTCGACTGTATATCAAACGAGATGGTAGATTATTAGATAATAAAACACGTGAGACACTGTCGAGACCATACGGCTTTACGAGACATACGAGATGTGAACATTATGTTATTATACTGTAATTTTAATTTTCGAGTTTTAAGTACATGTAAGCAAATGTTTATTTGAAATGAGTCAATTCAAATATGTTGATTCAAATCGTGGAAAAGCTAGAATAATATTCCAAAGTATTTTTATACGGAAAGAAAAACACTGAAAACTTGTGAGATCATATATTTACTTATATAACCGAAATTTTATTATTTTCAATTCATTTTTACTCGAACTAATATATATTTTGTATTTCAACTATGACTGTAATGTGCCAACAGAAGTGTTAATTTTAATATAAGATGCATTATTTATACGATTATGACTAGAATTTAATTTATTTTTAATTATATTATTTGTATATATTTATTACATATGATTTATGAAAATCATTAAATTTTCAATCGAAAATTATTTTTTATACAATTCTATTGTTCAATATGTTGATGCGCAATTAATGTGTGATAATTTAATACAGGTAAAACGACTATCGAACGATTGAGAATGTTATACTTTTTTGCCCGAACGATTGAACACTTTAAACCAACAAAGAACTTACCGCTGACCCCCCAAAAAACAATACGATTGATAACGAATTTACGTGCAATATGACCATATCATTTATTTGGCTTTTGAAAAATTCAGTATACATCAAATAAATATTCTTGAAAAGAGTCATAAACTAATAATTATAATCGTATACAAATAAGCGCCTAATAATATGTAATATATAATATAAATAAAAAAATTAAAATATGTAAAACTTATAAAATTATGAAATATATATTTATAAAAATGAAATAAATATAATATTTTGCAATGACAACTTAATTACCTATATATTAGTTATAGCGGGATAGCGTAATCAAACATACTCTAAATAGACTAAATATTTTAATAAATTATTAGAACTTTTATTTCCCACATACCTAATATATTTACTATGAATATTAAGTATTTTATCCTTTTGTTTTTT